AGAGCCACCATAGAGAGCATCCTAACGTACGGCATAACAACATGGTATGGTGCTCAGCTGCAGACAGGAAAGTACTGCAGAGGGTCATCAACACAGCCCAATGGCTGCTCTCTGCCCAGCCTGGAGGTCACTGCAAACTCTCGGTACCTCAGCAGAGCTGGCAATATCATCAAGGACCACTCTCACCCCAGCAACCAACTGTTTGAACTATTACCGTCAGGCCGACGGTACAGGTCACATAAAACCAGGACAAACAGATTCAGGGATAGCTTCTTTCCCAGAGCTATCACCGTAGTAAATAAGCACAAAAACAACTGAACCTATACCATACCGTCACTGTCATTATATTATGCTGCTATTCATACTGTCATTATATTAATGCTGCTATTCATACTGTCATTATATTAATGCTGCTATCCTGTATATATTGTACTTACTATTGTTTGAGTACTTACGATTGTTTTTTTGTACTTTTTATATTTTACATTTATATTTATTATTGAAACTTGCACCAAGGGAGCGGCACTCCAATTTCGTTGTACTCTGTACAATGACAATAAAGGCTATTCTATTCTATTCTATTCTATTCTATACCTGTCTGTGGTTCTGACTAATATTGAATGCCGTGTATGTCCAGCTGGTTACCCACCTTCTCGTCCCCAGGTGTTCCAGAGGAGGACGGACGGCTCGGTGAACTTCTACAGACCCTGGAGTCAATACAAGATGGGCTTCGGTAACCCTGCCAGAGAGTACTGGCTCGGTGAGCAAAGTGCAAAGCTGAAACTCTGATGTGACTTTGTGGACACATGTTGAACCAGAGAAGCTTCACATATCAGAGACTTGTGCATGTTTCTGGTTGTTTATAGGCCTCGAGAGTCTCTTCCACCTCACTCTGAGGAAAAGGTACGAGCTGCTGGTCGACATGGAGGACTTCAGTGGAAACATGGCGTTTGCCCGTTACTCCTCGTTCTCCATCAATCCAGAGTCCGACGGATACAGACTGCACGTGTCTGGATTCATTAACGGAGGGGCAGGTGGGGAAGTATTCTGCTCTGACTCTGAAAGATGAATAAGTGTCAGGTCTTACATCTGGTTCCTCGTTTAAGCTTAGTTTGAAACCTCCAACAAGTTTAGCTCCAGAGATGTTCCAGCTGTTCCATTTACTGATGATGTCATCACAGCATCATGTGACCTTCGTGCTGTGCAAACAGGAGTCGCTCACCGAGGGCTCTGCTGACTGTTTCCATGGAAACAGATAAAAAGGTTGGAGCTGTATCCCACCACAGATCAGGTGGTGCGGAGACATACAGGATCAGCAGGGAGCTGAACCTGCTTTGAGTCCAGTCTGTGTTGTGGTCCACTGAGAACACTCCCAGTACACCTGCTAACCAGTCTGACTGGGATTAGTGGTAATGTTGGGCTTATTCATCTGTGTTTCTGCAGGAGATGCCCTGAGTTATCACAACGGACAGAAGTTCTCCACATTTGACAAAGACCAGGACAGCTGGCCAGGGAACTGTGCAAAATCATATCTGGGGGCGTTCTGGTACAACATCTGTCACAATGCAAATCCTAACGGGGTTTATCGTTGGGGGGCTGATGGGACTATCTATGCTGTTGGTGTGGACTGGTACCAGTGGAAAGGTCATGACTACTCCCTGAAGACCATCAGCATGAAGATCCGTCCTGTGCAGTAAATCCGCAGAACAAACACAGAGGTGTTTATTAAATATATAACTATAAATCTTTTACACATGACTTTTCAAATTTGTACTTTGTTCATTTGATGCATTAACATTTTGTGTGTTTTGTATGAAACTTAAACCAAATAAATCTATATGAAGGCTGTTCAAACTGTACTACAGCAGCACACAATATGAAGCAGTTACAGTAAAACGTGAGACTGTTGCAGATTTTTAATGTGTGTTTTCACAGTTTAACAGTGTAACCTGTTTATCCATACATGACATACTGTGTGCATGTTGGATTTACTTCATTCAACAGTGGACATTGGTTGCACACAGATGTTCTGTGTTGGCAGGACCTTAAACAGTTGAGTTAAATTAAGTGATTCATATTCAATAAACTTGAGCATTTAGTGTTGATTAAATGTGACTGAAACATGTTTTGATGAAGTCATTTGAGCTTCTGGAATATTTGAATCCATCACAATTTTCTCACTTTGCTCCAACACTGTTCAATAACTTTTACCCCAATGCTACTTGGTCACTGAAATACTCCGTGTTATCTTCATATTACATGTTGGTATCATATTCCAGTATCAAATACACAATTTTCCAATGGAGGCCTTATAACAGATTGTAGATGGTTGCCAGGATCCACCAGTAACCTTTCAAAATAAAATGTCTGATTTCACTGCAGTGACAGCAGGTAAAGAACTGACCTGACATCACTGCTCTACTAAAACATAAACCAGCAGTAATGCCAGTTTTTCACTGTTTTGTCGAGGTTCTCAGAGCATCTTTAACTTTCAGAATCAGTATGACACGAATGTTTCAGAGCAGCAGTCAGACTGTGAGTGTGTTTGATGAAGCTCTGATACCTGATATGAATCATTATCAGATGCATGCTGATAATAAATGAGAAGCAAACGTCTCTTGTTGTCTCCTGTGTCATTCCTTGCTGCCCTCTAGTGGTCACAGTAACAAACTACAGCTCCACCTTCTTCAGGGGCAAAAATGCAAATATTAAGTTTCCAGATTAATTTAATATCTATTATCAATAATAAATCTATTACCCATGACTTCTCATAATTTCACTCTAGTACTAATGCGATGAATATACACAATGCTCGTGGCTCCACGTACTCCAGCTAGAAACCCTGCCCTCAGTGTTATGCTGCGTGAGCCACAGGTACTCCAGCACCAGGGGAGCACCAGGCGCCTTAAACAGAAATAAACTGATCTTTTCAACATAGTTACCCAGCAGAGTGAGGTGGATCTCCTGAGTGCAATGTGTGATGTTGTTGAGTCATGTGCCATTCAGAGCAGCAGCAGTTGGGTAAGGGGAACCAGTGGGACCCCCAGCTTTTGGGCAAGGGTCTCATCCAGAAAACTCTGCTCTGCTCTGGAGTCAATGTGTCACAATCTGGCTATGAAGCTGAACATGGAGACCTGGCATACATAGAAGAACCTGGAAACATGACATGAACATAGCAGACGACCCAGTTCAAGACCTTCTACATTATCTTCTGTGGATCCAGCTGTGCATGTTCCTTGTTCAAGTTTGCTTATTTCTTTCCAAACTGTTGCTCTACCTGAGCTAGAGAAGCTCGAGTCAAATGCTAAACCATGTGGCTCTCCAAACAACGACATTCCTCCATGTTTTCTTAAAGAGGTGTTTCCTCCCGTTGGACCACATGCTCTGAACTTAATCAGTACCAGCCTCTTGTCAGGTCAAGTACTGAGTGAGTTTAAGCATGCAGTTCCCCGCATCCCTTCAATTATGACAAACGTCAGACCCATCTCTAAGCTTCCTTTTCTGAGTAAGATCCTGGAAAAGATTGTTCACACCCAGCTGATGGACTATCTAAATGGTTTTCAAACTCCAGAAGCTCTTCAGTCCGGTTTGAGCCGTTTCACAGCACGGAGACAGCTCTCATAAAGGTTATGAATGTCATTTTGTTAGCGACTGGTAACCATGCAGTGCTTGTTTTGTTGGACATGACTGCTGCATTTGACACAGTGGATCATGACCTGCTGATCTCTCGACTACAGCATTGTGTAGGAATTTCCAGCTTGGCCCTTTCATGGATAAAATCATGTCTCTCTAACAGGAGCTTCTGTGTTGAGTTGGGTTCGGCTTCATCCTCTGTGACCCCTCTGCCATGGGGTGTACCGCAGGGATCTATTATTACGCCATTACTGTTTTCATCTCCTGCCACTGGGTGCGATCTTAAGAAAACAAAAAGTTTCATTTCATCTATATGCTGACGATTGCCAGCTTCATCTACCTTTCAGTCACTCTGATAGCTCCCCGATTGGACTCCAGCATGATTGTCTTAGCGAAGTTAAGTCATGGATCGCCCTAAATTTTTTACATTTTAATGAACGTAAAACAGAGGCAATTTTATTCCGTCCCAATTGTTCCCCTGGTACCTCAGATGTTGACTTTGCTGCTCTGACCCCTCACCTGAAGAACTCGATTACTAATCTTGGGGTAAAAATCGACACTGCACTAAGGCCACATATATGGGGGGTGAAATCTTCCTCCTATCACCTCAGACGTCTGTCGAAGGTTAAGCCTTTTCTTTCCAGGTGTGATTTGGAAACTGTCATTCATTTCTTTTTACAACACAAAATTAAAATGTAACAGTTCTTCTAAACAACAAATATTTGTGACATTATTTTAAACTGTTCCAAAGAAAGAAAATCATGTTTACTCACAGGTACAGTTACACATACACTGAACAAAAATATAAACTCAACACTTTGGATTTTGCTCCCATTTTTCATGAGCTCAACTCAAACATCTGAAAAATTTTCTACATACACAAAAGACCCATGAATCTCAAATATTGTTCTTAAATCTGTCTAAATCTGTGTTAGTGAGAAGTTGTTGTCAGGATAATCCATCCCTCCTCACAGGTGTGTCAAGGTGCAGATTAGAGAGCATGAACAGGTGTGCCTTAGACTGCCCATAATAAAAAGCCCCTCTGAAGTACACAGTTTGATCACACAGCACAGTGCTGCAGATGTCGCAGCTTTTGAGGGAGCGTGCAGTTGGCATGCTGACTGCAGGAACGTTTACCAGAGCTGTTGCCTGTGAAATGAAAGTTCATTTCTCTGCCATAAGCCGTCTTCAAAGGCGTTTCAGAGGATTTGGCAGTACATTGAACCGGCCTCACAATTGCAGACCACATGTAACCACACCAGCCCAGGACCTCCACACCCAGCATGTTCACCTCCAGGATGGTTGACCAGGTGGAGACCAGCCTCCCGGACAGCTGCAGCAACAATTAGTTTGCATAACCAATGAATTTCTGCAAAATCTGTCAGAAACCGTCTCAGGGAAGCTCATCCGCATGCTCGTGGTCCTCATCGGGGTCCGGACCTGACTGCAGTTTGTCATCGTAACCGACTCGAGTGGGCAAACGCTCTCATTCGATGGCGTCTGGCATGTTGGAGAGGTGTCCTGTTCACAGATGATTTTACTGTTCAGGGCAGATGGCAGACAGCTTGTGTTGCATCGGCGTATACGACAGCGAGTTCCAGTTCCTGCCAATATTCAGCAACTTTGCACAAGTATTGAAGATGAGTGGACCCACAGCCCACAATCAACAACCTGATCAACTCTATGCAACGGAGATGTGTTGCCCTGCGTGAGGCAAATGGTGGCCACACCAGATACTGACTGCTTTTCTGCCCCCACCTTAAAGCAAAACCTGTGAGGAGGGATGGATGATCTTGGTAAAGGAAAAGTTCTCACTAACACAGATTTATGAAGATTTGAGATTCATGGGTCTTTGTGTATCTACAGGGTGGGCCATTTCTATGGATACAGCGTAATAACAGGGGAATGGTTGGTGATATTAAAGTCCTGTTTGTGGCACATTAGTATATGTGAGGGGGCAAACTCACGATGGGTGGTGACCATGGTGGCCATTTAGAAGTCGGCCATCTTGGATACAACTTTTGTTTTTCAATAGGAAGAGGGTCATGTGACACATCAGACTTATTGGTAATGTCACAAGAAAAACAATGATGTGCTTGGTTTCAACGTAACTTTATTCTTTCATGAGTTATTTACAAGTTTCTCTTTGTTCACAGCCATTGACATGTCGAAGAGGTTAACACGTGAGGAGCGGATCGAAATCGTTAACAGCATGTTGGGACTCTGGGATGGATTCTGGGTCATGGTAGGAAGATGTTCTGACACACTACCCAGAGCTTTCCCAAGTGGCACATATTGATTATTTTAGGACAAAGAAATCAGAAAAATATAATGCACTTAAATGATTATGACAGTGATTTGGTTCAATGTTTGAATAAGGCATCTGCACTCAGGGAACATCTTGATTCGAGATATTTTCTTGGCTCACAGAAAGGACTCAGACTCCTGTTGCCTCATCATCGACCTCGATCTGCCAGTGTTAGCATCTAAATGTACATTACACATGTTACTGTTAATAAGAACCCAGCAAACACTGAACCAAGTAAGAGAAACTGAAACCATCACATCAGGAATCCACCCCCAGCAACATTTTTTTAAAAGACTGCTCGTGCTAAGTGTGTTACTCATACCCAGCGTCCCCGTAACGATAACAGCAGTTTTAATAAGAGAAAACAAGTATTTAATTATGACGTATTAGAGTAAATATAAGATTCCCTCGGTAACACCTGTTATAATGTGATTACACTGAATTATCCATAAAAGCCCTTAATAATGATTTCATGCTATGTGAGTCATAAAGCTGTGATAAAGACAAAGAACAGTATAACAGTTCACTATCATTCTAGAAAAAATAACATATGCAGCAGCGAGATAAACTCAGACTAATGACAGTCCACATTTCTTTTTCATTACGTGGCCAGCAGGGTACATGTTTGGGGTTTTCTTCTGTAAGTGATGCCCTGTGAGAACAAGACAATCAGCAGGCTGAAAGGAGCTGCTGAGGTTAGGCCACCGGGTACCACAGAGGACCTTCTGAGGTCTGGTAGAGTTCAGGGACGGGAGGAAGCTGCTGTTACCGGGCAGACCGGCAGCATGGTAGGCAGGGTTTATCTCGCTGGTGCGTGAAATAATATCCCAGCACCAAAGATGTAAATGTTTGCTTGATAGATTGAAGCTAAAGGTATTTTTCGAAAGCATGATACTAAATGTTTCTAACTCTGTGTGACTGACTCTGCTGCTCTAATTAAACTGGGCTTAGGGCAGCAGAGTTGGTTTTGTAATAGACATAGAGGCCTGGGTACACAGCCTCTGTGAAGGTGGTGCGAAAGGTGTGGAAGTGACTCAGTGTGTTATGGGAGACTTTGTAGAAAGACAGTGTGCCAGCAGGCCAGTCAAGAAACACTCCGACTCTGCTGCAGCCGGTACTGGGAAGACTTTCGCTCCACACTTTACCATTATGCCAAGCACTGAGCTCTTGCTCGTACACACCAAAATACCAGGATTTGGTATTACAACCGAGCCCTGCATCGTCACTCTTCCCCTTCCTTATAATGCTTTGGTACGTAACAGCTACACCAACGTTATTACTAGAACCAGTACTCCACTCCACTTCCCAGTAATGGCGCCCAGTCAGCCCCTCCCTGCACAAAACCTGAGTCTTTGTATCAAACCTCTCAGGACAATCAGAATACGTCTGCCATGCTCCACACGTTGCCTTCTTGTTGCCCTCAGACAGAATCAGGTAGTTGTTTGCAGTGTTTGGGTCCAAGGTGAGATCACAGGCGTCTGATCAGAGAGAAAGGGACACACTTTCTTACTAGTCATTACTATCTGTGCCACTTTACAACAGCAGACATACATACAATAATCTAAGCATTACACGTTTATTCAATATAACCAGCATGCTAATTAGGAATTCAAACAATACTTTTGCTGAATGGCGTAAGAAATGGAAAAAAGTGGACTTACACCAGATTAGATTTTGTCTGTCTTTAACGTTTTCCACATCAGGGACAGCAGGCTTTGAAAACTCTTCAGTGACCCGACGGCCCTTCCTGTGGTGGTAGATGGTTGCTCCTTTGTATTTCTTATTAGTTTCTGATGCCACAATGAAGCTAAACCTGCTGCTGCTCTTCAGGCCTTTGGCGATGCTGCAGAACTCTTCAGCTTTCTGTCTCAGGTTGGCTACCACTTCAGCTGAGAAGAACCAGTGGTCTTTTGTTGGTGGAGTGAAACTGTCATGACAACGCAAGTATTTGTACATCTGGTCCAGGTAGGGGTCGTCAGTTTCCACAGAGGTGAAAACAAAGCTCAGGACATCGTCTACACCCTGAGCAAGAACCGCTCTGTCGAACTCGGACTCATCTTTAGTGATTTCTATCCCCTTCATTGCTTCCACACAGGACCTGATGACGTTGATTTCTCTCTCTGTATTATCTAACCACTTGTCTAAGTTCTCCAGACTGAATGGTGACTTCTCCTGGTCGTCTAAGAGTTTCTCCAGTGAACTGTCTTCTTTACCCTCAAGAATGGAAGGGAATGTCTCCACCATAGCCTGTCTCAGCTTTTTTCCACTATCTTCACAGAGGTTTTGGAAACGCTTCAACTTTTTGTGAATCTGTGGAAAACTCTGAACCACGTCTTCATCCAGAGAGTCATTGCATCTCATTTCCATTTCTTTGATGATTTCTAGAGCATTCTCAGCTTTCCTCAGTAACCCGACACAAATCTCTCCCTTCATCTCTTCAGCGGTTGGGTCCAGTTTCTTCAGCGGTGTCAGCCACACTTTGACAGGAACTGTTTTCTCTCCATCTCCTCCAAGGAGCTTTGGAAGCTGTGAGTAGGTCTTCACTGCATCTTCAAATGTTGAAGGGTTGCTGTCGAGAATGAAGTCGCCGTAGAATTTGCAGGAGAATTTATCAGTCACAGCTTTTTCTTCTTTACTCAGCTTGACGTCAACCTTTGCCTCAGAACTATATACAATGATCATCTTAACTGCTGCCTGCATGTGGACCTTCGTCTCCTGAACACTGCTGCTCTCCAGCTTCTCGCTGTCAAACACAAAGAAAGCATGTGCCCCATATTGGATGCCTGTGACTACGTGTGTTGCGTTGCTTTTCTTAATGACGTCTTGTATTTGTGTGGTTTTTGCTTCAAGGTGAGTCATTGCCAGCCGTTCAAATGCAGTCGTAGCTTTGAACTGAAGCGTCACTCTGCTCTGGTTCTTGAACTTCTTGTTGTCATTCAGAAAGCTGCAGGACCCACTCTTTTCAGTCAGTCCACACAACCAACTAGTTTTAGAATATGTATCTACATCCAGCAGAGAAGACTTGGTCTCAATGGAGTCTGATGTAGTAATTTCGTAGGTGGTGCTGGCCTGATTCTGCCTAGTGCTGTACCTTTTAATTGTTTCTCTGTCCCACAGCGTGAAATCTACAGAAAACACAAAAAGGAAATGTTTTTGTGAAAAAATTATTAACGTTTCTGTTGATTCAGTAGGAATAAAGCCGATGAGCCACACCATGCAGATATGGGAAAGAGTTTTTGGAGCTTGGGTAAGGAGTGAAGTGATGCTCAGTGAGCAGCGTTGTGACTTCATGCTGAAAAAGAGCTACAGATGGCCTGTGGCACTGACTTCCCAAGTCATGCACCAGTACCCCGGAAAGACTCATCCTGCACCAGCTCCGACCCATCAGACCACATCAGGATCACCTTCAGTTTGCATACCAGCCCCGACTCTGCGCTGAGGCCACCATCATCTACCTGCTCAATCGTGCCTACACCCATCTGGAGCACTGTGCGGGTCGTGTTTGACTTTTCCAGTGCTTTCAACAGTATCAGGCCGACCCTCCTGGGTGATCAGCTAACAGTGATGCAGGTGGATTCGCTGGTGTCCTGGATGGTTGTTACCTGTTGTTACAGGAAGACCACAATATGTGCGTCTTCCACAGTGTGTGTCTGACAAGGTGATCAGCACCACAGGGGACCGTCCTCTCCCCCTCCACCCTCTACACCACAGACTTCAGCCACTGCACACAGACCTCCATCATCAGTAGGGTTTCTGATGACCCTGCGGTGGTTGGATGCATCAGTGAGGGTGATGAGTCAGAGTCCTCATCACCCTCATTAGGGTCTGAGAGGTGGATGTTGTCCAAGATAAAGACAATACTGGACAATACCTCCCACCCACACCATGACATGCTGGGCAATCACAGGAGCACGCTCAGTAAGAAGCCGAGATTACCCATAATGCACCACAGAACGACCATGATCATTGATCAATGGTCTTTGATCAGTGATCTTTGATTAGAGGTTGTTGATCAATGATCATGACAATTTGCATATTAATGATGAAGGAGCTGACCTCCCAGCCCATTGTTCCTTCAGTGGTTTCAGTCATTATACAAATGTCCTGTTTATAAGGTTGAAACCTGCAGTCAGCTGAGACTGAAGACGTCACCTGATGATGATGATACGTTTCTCCCACTGAAAATATCCAGATGAACAGAATCAAGCTTTTGGGTCATCTCACAGTTCTTGTGTTTAGTGCTGACAGCTTCTGACAAGGAATTCTCATTTCTGCTGTTCAATACCGAAGAAATGTAAACTTTTTAAAATGATGCCAAACTGCAAAACTCTTAGCTGTGTCTCTAATCAAACCTCTGTCACCTCAGCAGCATCAGGTAATGCTCACCTGCTGATTCATGGTTTGCTTAGTTTTTGTTCTACTGCAGAATATTTTCAAGGTTATCTGCTATAAAAAGTGAGGACAGGAGAATCTCCTTCATGTTTTTCTGTGTTTTATCCTCAGTTACTTTGACACAGAGGCCTCTGCTGTGATGCTCACACCTCTGATGAAGTCTCACAGTGTCAGCTTTGGTTTATACGTATCCACATTTTTATATCTATGTGATATTTCTGTCTGAGTCAAAACCGAATCAACTCACGACTTTGTGAATCTGACTCGAATCAGTTATAGAAATAGAAATCGATAGCCAGCCCTGTGATAGTAATAATAATGGATTGGATTTATATAGCACTTTTCAAGGCACCCAAAGCGCTTTACAATACCACTATTCATTCACTCTCACATTCACACACTGGTGGAGGCAGCTACAGGTGTTAGCCACAGCTGCCCTGGGGCAGACTGACAGAAGCCAGGCTGCCATATCGCACCATCGGCCCCTCTGGCCAACACCAGTAGGCAAGTAGGGTAAAGTGTCTTGCCCAAGGACACAACGACCAGGACAGAGAGCCCGGGGATCGAACCGGCGACCTTCCGGTTACAGATACGCTTCCCAACCCCCTGAGCCACGGTCGCCCCGTAAAGGGTGCCAAGAAAGGAACTGCAGTACCAATGGAAGCTTGTATGGAGTTTTTTAAAGCCTGGTTTAAAAACAGGTTTAGATGTGATGTTATAATCCAGGGGTGGGGAACTCCAGGCCTCGAGGGCCGGTGCCCTGCAGGTTTTAGATCTCACCCTGGGTCAACACACCCGAACCACGTGATTAGTTCATTATCAGGCCTCTGGAGAACTTCAAGACATGTTGAAGAGGTCGTTTAGCCGTTTAAATCAGCTGTGTTGGATGAAAGACACATCTAAACCCTGCAGGACACCGGCCCTCGAGGCCTGGAGTTCGACACCTGTGTTATAATCAGTGTCCATGAGCAGTTAGGTCTATATATATTTGGACACTGACAAAGGTTTTGTTTTTTAACTGTTTACTGAAGCATATTCCAATTATAGCTTTAAAATGGACATGGGCATAATGTGCAGACACTCAGTTTTACAGCAGAGTACTGCAGCTTTCATTCCAGGATATCCACATTCAAACTGTCCTGGTGTCCTGGTCCGGAGTCTGTGGACTCCGTGTTCCTGTTTAAATTTATTAATATTCTGTGGTTTTGTTTATTTTGGGCTGTTTGTAATTATCCTTAGTGTTTTGTGTCCTCTGTGCTCTCCTGTTCCATGTTTTGTGTTCCTATGTTCTGTCTCCCCTGTCTGTGTTTAGAGTTTTGTTGGTGTGTTTCCTGTTTTATTTTGAAGGTCCATTTCTCTTGTCAGTGTTTGTAGTTTTGCTTCCCCTTGTCTCGTTATGTCCAATTAATCCCAGTCGTGCCTCCCTCCTGTCTTCCCTGATTGCCCTGTGTGTATTTCAACCCTGTGTTTTCTCGTGTGCTCTGCAGGTTTGTTTGTGTATTTCCCTGAGTCTCCCTGCATCTCCTTTTCAGGGCTGTTGCTGTTAGTTTTCTTCAGTTTAGGTTATCCTTGGGTTCTGTGTCATGCCTACTGCGTTTCTATTTATTTCACCTCCCTAATAAAACTCACTTGCACCTGAAAGCTGCATCTTGGGTCCTTCATTAAATTCCTCACAGCTTGCCCTGCTAGTCGGGACACCTGGTGCCAGGTGTACTTGTGGACATCTTTAAGTTTGAACATATCTCAGGGTCTTGCTCTCAAGTGAGGGGAAAGGTGAGCAGGAAATGGACAGACGGATTGGTGCTGCGGCTGGAGTGATAAGGATGCTACACTGTCAGTGGTCTGAGAGAGCTGAGCGTTAAAGCGAAACTGACGATTTACCAGGTGATTCACATCCTTCCCCTCAACTACAATCAGGACTTTTGTGTAGTGACTGAAAGAACAAGATCATGATTACAAGTTTAGAAAATACGCTTTCTGCCAAGGGTGGCTGGTCATTCGAGTAGAGCCGCTGCTCCTCCACACTGAAAGGAGACAGTCGAGGTACTTCGGGCATCTGACCAGGATGCCTCCTGGGTGAGGTGTTCTGGGCATTTTTCTGGCCATGTCATATTTTGTTCAATTTAATTTCATTTATGTAGCACTAAATTCTAAATTCATGTATGTATTATTGTAGGGTCTCCCTTACACATAAAGCGCCTGTTGGTGTGATTTGGACTGTACGATTAAAACTGAGTTGAAATTGAATTGAATTGAATTGAATGTGTGTACTGTCCGGTGTTGGTCAAGTTACTTGAAAAAGTAATTAGTTACTAATTACCGATTACTTCTCCAAGAGAGTAATCCCATTACTTTACTGATTACATTTTTCAAAAGTAATTAGTTACTTAGTTACTTTTTGTTTGTTTTTTTGCGTGTCCCGTTTGGTTCTTTTGCATCAGAATTGTTGTCTAAAGGCAAAGAAAGATGCCCGACGGATTTACTTTACCAAATTGACCATCCCAGCCTTGCCGTAATGGTCCATTTGATTCACCTTTTATTGTTTATTTTATTTATTTTTTTATTTTCACTTGCTAGATACGGGACAGACTTGAATGAGGAAAAGAAAAGGGAGAAAGGAAGAGGGGGAAAAACAGCG